TGCGTGTATCTGGATATAGTTTAAAATAATGCAATAAGTTTCAATAATATCTTATTAATTAAAAAATCGTTGAAAAGAAAATTCTTATCGTTCTTTATATTACAGATAAATTCGTGCTCAGCGAATTAAAGATGCAACAGAAATAGCGGTGATAGTTAAATTGAATGAACCAAATAGATTGTGGTTAGTCAAGTGCACACGTACTTAACGAATATTCAAACTCGATTTTCATCAAAACAGAAATCTACACATCTGAAAAATATTTATTCTATATCGTTTATTTACTTTTGCATGAGCAATTCTCTCTTTCCTGCGATCGTATCACGATTTCTGGAACAGTTTCTGTATATTTTTCTATATATTTGAAAACAAATTAAAGTTTAATATACATGCGAATACGACGAAGAATGTATAAAATAACAAATTTTTAAATTATTCTTACGTCTTATTGTTAACAGGAGATTTTTATTACCTTCCTTAAAAAACTAATTACTGCCCTTTTCTCATTATCGCTAATTGAGTAAAATATACACTTATAATTCCTTTATATATTTTTATTGTTATTTGTAAAGACTTAAAACAATTTGTGAATTCCTCAATTCTTTTATTATTTGTATGTGTTGTGCGCACGATAGTTTAATATTTTCTAGCTACATTTTAACCATCGTCTGCGGAATTATTTGGATTAAATACAGATGTACATATACTGAATAGATAAATTCAATTTCCTGATACACATATTAAATATTAATAAATACCTAAACGTACTTTACGCTTCGCTTATTGTTCCATATTAATTAGGCAGTGATATATTACAATATTGGTTTAAACCGCGTTTTATGTGCGGCGTCGATGCACGGGGAGTGCGCATTATTCAAGGAACTTTTATTAAGCCGGCCAAGGCCGAAAGCTCACCGCGGAGTCTGTATCCGGGGAAGTCGACGAGAGGAAGGCGTGTACCGAGCGCACGAAAGGGTCGTCTTCTTATAACCATAAATATCACGTATAAATGCATATAACGCGATGCTCCATAAATCCGACGCCGTCCGCCGACCGAAAAACGAGCCTGCATTTACCACGAAGGGCGTCTGTAATTAAACGCTCTGTCCCAATCCGCATTATTAGCGATATAAGTGCTCTCGTCCTTGGCTTTTCCAGGGGATCCAGAGACTCACGACTGTCGGGGGAGCCCGCGCGTAATTAGAGTTACCAGCCGTGCTCCTTTAAGAGTACATGTATATTCTTTTTGAGACCGTTGAGAATTTCTTAGTCATTAATTAAAATTTTATAATATTAAATAAAGCACCTTTTAAGATCGTAATGTGAACACGCAACTACTAAGAAAGTTTAAGAGAAGTTACTTTCATTTCCTAATTATTATAAAGTTTTATATTTATCAAATTATATTAAGAAGAATTGTCAATAAAAATTTTATTGTTATATATTCAATAGAAATTTTATTTTATTATAAATACTTACATTTAACGCATTAAAAAACTATATCCTTTCTTTCCGTCTCCGAATTAGCTTTTTTAAAAAAAATATATATGTATACTTTTTTTTATAATTCAAATATGGTAACTCTATCTACACGTAACCCAAAAAAGTCGAAAAAATCTGTAATTTTTTCAAGCTCGGTTGAGAAGCTGAGGAACGGCTCTTCACGGTCCTCGACGTATCGATTCGTAGGACGACTCGACGACATGTTTGACGTGATACGGGCCTTCCTTTCATATACAATAAAATCCCAGGGGACGACGGAGAGGATAGGAAGAAAGAAAGGGGGGGAAGGAGGCCCGCACGGGTGAGCTCGCTGTCCGCGTGTCTACGCGCGCTCACGACGAGCTAACGATATTTATTATACGTCGGCGATGAATTATGGGCCGTTAAGGTCCGCCATCGTGACGGGACGGAACGGGACGAGACCGGGGCCCTTCGGCCCCGCGCGAACGCGTAGCGAACTGGCATCGCCACTGCCGGCCGCCCGGAGGAAAAACGCGCAGGACGGGGCTCGTACGGCCGCGCCGCGCGAAATGAAATATTTATTCCATTACGAGACGCGCACAGCCCGTATTGTAATGCGCTGAACCGTGTTGCGCTTTCGCGGCCCGTCGTCCGTCGGCGAGTCGGGTTATCGCGATATGCGTCCGCAAGAAAGGCTGCCTCTGCTCGATTATCGCGCTGATTTTTATTTCGAGGTGCGTTTGCCACGATGCTCTCCCACATCACGCGCGCTCTTTGCTGTTGTTGTTCATTTTTTCATTTCTTTCAAACTCTTTATAAATTATAGTCACAATGTACGGTATAAGAGGGTGACTTGGGACAGCATGTATTTTTGTTAAATTCAATCATGGATGGATTCCATGATTGAATTTAACAAAAATACATGCTGTCCCAAGTCACCTACACTTGTTCCAAGTCATCCATATTTACGGTATAAAGAGCCAATGCAAACCGAATTGCAGGTGTCGGTGTGCAATCGAATTAATGGAAGCAGCAAAATGTAAAAAAAAAAGAAATTACAAGATCTCTAGAGAAAAAGAGGAATGTCGCATTACCTGCCGATAGCGTGCGTGATAGGTGGCTCGATTATGACGAGCAGAGATTAACAAGACTTGATAAAGCGTTATAAGAGATGGTTATACGATCTAGACTCTATAACGATCATGTAACTTTTTCCCTAAGGTGAAAACATGAAAAATCAAGATTTTTATCATTTCTTTACAAAAATTGAATACTGGCCACTAAAATACAGTAATTAATAACTGATTTTAAATATTAGCGCTGTTGTTCAATTCTTTTAGTACTCCAAATAAGTAATTAATTACTGTCTTTCAGTTATAAATTCGCCAGTATTAGATTTCTGTAAGGATTGTATAGATAATGGAGAAATTTTTCACTTTTCACGTTTGCGCCTAAAAAGTTAATTAATTAACATAATCGCATCTTGAATCCAAGTCTACCTTGGAAAATAAAAATCAGAAGTCAGATATAAGGGGAGAGTAACAGAAGCATAAACAAAGCTTCTCTAGGAAGCTAAAATTGAGACAATGAAACGTAAAAGAAGCGTAACCGCCTCTTTTACATTTCGTTGTTTCAATTCTCGCCTCCTAGAAGCTTCGTTTCCTGCAATTCGATCTGCGTTGGCCACTCTTTGTATATTGTGCCTATAAAAGTTACACTTTATTTTCACCAAGATATATCGTCGTATGTGACTTTGCGACGAGAGGCAATATCTCACGATCGCGGGTCATCTTCGAGTCAAATAGCTCTGGAACGAACGGCTCATTCGTGAAGTTCACCGGCCACTCTTTGGCTTCCATAATGAAGGAAAACCCTCAACGTCCTCCCGTTTCTTCGCGATCCACTCTACCCGTGGGAAAGCCCGCTTGGACGACGAGGCCGTTTAACAGTCCCCTGGTAACGGTAACGGAGTCGCGGCGACGCCAGGAATCGTGAAAAATCGCGCGCTTCGAACCTTCGCGAGCAAGCACGCGCGAGCGCGGTTAATGACGAAGAAACGGGTCCCGCGGAGTCCCGTAGTCGATTTTCGTCGAAAACCGGCTTCGAGACTCGTTCCCGGTCGTCTCTCACGCGGTTACGCCCGTCCCGTCGAATTGCGCGAGTGAGGCATAATCCGCCTTACCGCGCGTCAAATCGCGCGTTTACTGTTACGACGATCTATGAGAAATATATAGCGATTAGACGTCCAGCTGGCAATTTCCCGGATACATGCCTTGCTCGCGTCAAACATAATTTATGAGGGATTCCCGAAATTAATGACACCTGCGATGCCTTCGCTCGGCTAATAATTTTTGTATGGCGTAACGAGTTGCTGGACGCGGTGGACTCGCGGTGGACTCATCCGCGGAACCGGGATAAGTTAATTAAAAGTCAAATGTTAATTTAAATGAATTAATCATGATTAAGAATCGGATTTTTGTCCCTTCGGCGACGAGGTCGTTAACCATGTTGCATCACGAGTGTGGCATTCC